AAGACATCTCCAGAAGGCTCATGATGGAAAATGCTATCCACATCCAAAGAAAGAACTATGGAGTTTGAATGCAGATCAAAGCATACTATTTGCAATTTTTTTCTTCTGTTATGCTTTGTTTCCTCTTTCTGGTAGTTCCTCCTATTAGTTCTAATTCTTACCTACAACATGACTAATGTGAAAATATGTTTAATAAGAATGTATATGTATAGTCTATATTAGATTGTATGCCATCTTGGGAAGGAAGGTAGGGAGGGAGGGGGAGAAAAGTTTAAAACTCAAAACCTTATGGAAGTGATTGTTGATAAATTAAAATAAATTAATAAAAAAAGAAAAAATTAAAAAAAGAAGACTCAAGACATTTTTTGACAGTTCAGTTCAACAAACATTTGTGAAGGACATTAGTATAAGGAAGGAAGGAAGAGAAAGAAGAAAAAAGGGAAGAAAGAGAGGAAGAAGAAGGAAGGAAACAATCCCTGCTATGCCTTATGAAAAATAAGCAAAAGTTATGCAGATAATTTTCATTCTGCTATTGCCATCCTCATCATACAATGTTAAAGAACTGCTCAGGATGTCAGGGAAAGGGTCAGTGGAAAAGTCAGTGGTTGCTTTATTCATTCTTTCACATTATGTAAATTATCTGAAGTCAGAGAATATATGTCTTCTCTTATTAGAATGGGAACTTGCTGAGGGCAGGCATTGTTTCACTTTTCTATTTGTATTCTTAGTGCGTGCACATTATAAACACTTAATACTTGTTTTTATTCTTTGTTAATTCATTCTTCACACCAGACCCTGTCCAAAGTGAGAGGCACGACCTGGGAAGTTGGAGTATCTTGAAAAAGCTCCCTATCTCCCAAGCAGATCTGGTATCAGAGTCTCAAGTTTTTCTAGTTACTCTTCCTCAACTTCAAAATTGAAGGGTTAGAATAAAAAAAAATACTGTCAATTATCAACACGTAGAAGTGTCTGCTATAGGCATGTATTATAGCATGGTGCTATGTGCCATTGAGGAACATGAAAGGAGTACCCACTAAGTCCTCAAGGCACTGTCACATGGATCAGCATAAGAAATTGCTATGTTTTTATCAGTGGAAATGATATCAAAGAAGAAGCACTAACATCTACTTTGTCCCTGCACTCTAAGGACCAAGGGACCTTTCCATCTGTGTCATAGCTGAAACCTTCCTGTTTTTTCCTGCATTAGAATGTGAGCTCCTTAAAAACAGGGACTATCTCACTTTTCTGGCAGCAAGGTGGATAGAGCATCAGGCTTGGAGTCAGGATGACTCATCTTCCTCAGTTCAAATCTAGCCTGGGACATTAATGCTGTGTGATGCTGAGCAAGTCCTTTAATGCTGTTTGCCTCAGTTTCCTCATCTATAAAATGAGATAGAGAAAAAAATGGCGAACTATTCCAGTATCTTTGCCAAGAAACCCCGAATGGGGTCACTAAGAGGCAGATATGACTGAAAAATAACTGAACACAATCTGACTTTTCTATGTGTATCTCCAGCAGTGTTTTGCACATAGTAATGGCTTAATCAATGTTTTATTCATTCTTCAAGGACTGATAATCTTAAGATTCAAGTCATACAGAAATGAAACAGAATCTTAGAATTGGAAGAACTTCAGGACCATCTAACTGAAGTCTTTCATTTTTAAAGGAGGAACCTGAAGCTCAGAAATAAAAATAATTTTTAAAATGTGTAAGATTAAATATCAAAGTGGTAGAGACAATGAGAAAAGGTTATAAGGGGGAGGGATTTATGTAGGCTGTAGTGGTCAAGGAAGGTTTAAGAAAAGAGTGGGACTTGATCTGGGACTCAGGATGGATGAATGGATGGATAGATAGACAGACAGACAGGCAGACAGAAAGGAGAATTCATTCCAAGAAGGGTTTCCCCTTCAGCATGAGAAAAGGTGTGGGAGATTGTGAAGAGCTTTTCCAGTTGGAGTGAAAGGCTCAAATGTTTGAAACCTAGTTGCATCTAGCTGGATGTGACACTGGATGTCAACTCAGCCCCTTGTAGAAGTAGTAGGAGATAATCAGGTTAGAAAGGAAACTTAGGACCAGGAAATGAATGGCCTTGAATGCCTAAGGATTTTGAACTTTATTCAACAGATGGCAAAAAAATTACCTAAAGTTTTTGAGCAGGGAAACTCAATTCCCTGTCTCTTTTTTCTTTCTCTGGTCTCTGTCCCTTTTCTCCTTTTCCCTGCCTGACTTTCCCTCTCTCTGACCCCACGCTTCTGTTTGTCCCGTTTCCCTCCTTTAACATTGATAATTGGTACAACACTAAAGTACAATGCATTTTTGTAATGTGTATTAAAATTTACCCCTCTCAATTTTATAAGCATTTTTTTTGGAAGGGACGCATTTTTTGTTTCTTATTTTAAAAAAGCTAAATTAAGATGAAAGTTTTTTCTGTGGGGCTCTTACTTTAAAGGAAGGGGCGGTCCTTCGGGGAAAAAATGTCCTGCACCTCTGATTTAAAAACGAATGGGGATACAGACCAGACCTGTGATTTTATTAGTAGAGGGAACTACCAAGAGTAGAAACTTTCTACCAAAACAGGTCAGCATTCTCCTTGCAATTCATAGTCTTAAAGAGCTACATCTAGTGCACTAGATAGTTAAGTGACTTTCCCAGGGTCTCACAGCCAGGCTGTGTCATAGGTGGGACTTAAACTCAGGTCTTCCTGGCATCAAAGCTGGTTTTCTATCTATTACACCATTCTGATATGAAGATATCAGACACAAAGATATCAATTATAATAAAGTGATATATATATCTGTGTCCAAACAGAAGGGATGTATTTTTTTTAAATGCTTTCTAAAGTTGACACAGTAGGAACTTTTGCAAAGGTATTAGCTCAATGAGAATTCAATTCAGCAGATGATTATTAAGAACCTACTAAGTATAGAAGTACTGAGCCAGGTGCTAGAGGAGATCTAAAGTTTATATAAGGTGAGCATCTCTGCCTTAAAGGGGCTTATAACATATTGTGGAGCTATAAAACATGTACCAATGACTAGAACACTAACATACTTAAAAGGTATTTTGGCTGGGCCAACTTCATAAATACTGAGGAGTCAACCAGGGTAATTATATCAGTACAAGTATTATTTTCATAGTTCTTGAAACTGCAGAAATGTTTTTAGAATTCCTTGGTTTTTTTCTACTGCTAACTATCACAATAACAGCCAAAAGGTCTCATTCACACAAACACCTAAGAATTACCCTTAATTTCTCAGTGAATCTTATACAGTAGGTAAGTGTCAGAGGTTCTGAGTTTATAAGCTTTAGAATTTAAATTTTTAAGGAGAATGACATTCTGCCTGAACAAACATGCTCTGGAAACCAGGTATGATTAAAAAATAATTGGTGTATATGGTAGCTAGTAACTCGCAGAGATGTTCATATACAGATAATATCAATATATACTGACCAGATTAACTTCTTATGTTATACAGAGAATGCCTCTATAAATACGTACATTCAATTTTATTAAAGAGAAAAGGCCATAAACATTAATAGCAAAAAAACCCCACAAAATAGCTCTTAATTTAACAATTAGACATAAAGACTCTTAAAATTTAACTAATTTAAATTCAGCTTTTGCATGATAATAGTACAAGCACACAAATAAGAACCTGTTTTGTTTCAATCTGGGAAGGGTGACACGAACTTTCTATTTGCCAGAAAGAATAAATTTTAAAAATCCTCTCCTTCATGCTTTGACAAGATCTTTTATTTTCGCCCACAGCTAAAGGACAAAACCATGAAACATGAGATTTGTACTTTAGATTCAAGCAGGCTCAGTCTGTGACCTACTTAACAAAGATTATTTTACAGGGTAATATTATGGTAAATCTAGGTGAAAAGTGAGCCAGTTGTTATCACTGTTATATGAGTTGAAAATGCTGTAAATTTCCCATATGTAACTTTGAAAAGATAATGTAGCCAATTGTTACAACACAGGAATAAACTAATAAGTTTATTTATTTTATTTTATTTTTTGAAAAAAAATGAAGGAAATGGTGACCATCTTCAAAATATGAACAATTTGCAAATTTCCTTACTAAAACTGTATTCTTTTACTTGTTTAACATGATGACTAAAGTTGTAAAAGAAATGCTAAATAGCTTCATGGAGTTAAGAGGTCAATAGAAACATGTATGGGAATTTAAATGATTGAGGCCCTAGCTATACACACTGCTCTCTCTACACTCTTTCCTATGGGTTTGATTAGTACCAATCTGTATCTTTCAAATCTTATCTTTAGTCTCAACCTCTTCACAGGCCCTTATTCCCGTCTACCTGTTACCTTACATTCCACACACCCCATCAGATTGTGAGTTCCTTGAGTTTTAGGCCAGTTGTCCACCATCTTCCTAGTCATCCATATTTGAAACTGTGGAAGTAATTTTTGACATGTCTGCTGCCTTATGGAGCACTCTCATCCCAGTACTTCTCCACTCAAAAACTTCAGTTTTACATAGTCTATCAAACAAAGTATAAATTCTTTTTTTTTTTAATTTTTAGGCAGTTGGAGTTAAGTGATTTTGAATCCCCTAGGCACAATGCCTTACATGTAGTAAGGGATTTAATAATAGTAGTTGAATTGTACTGAACATTAAGAAAACTATTACTGAATACAATCAGCAGTTAATATCCAAATAAGAAGGGGAAGGGGCAACAACATTGAAAAACACATTGAACAGCAAAAGTCATCACACATTTATAACTTTCAATCAGCAAAGTACCTCCCCCAGCTTTTCTATGAGAAAAACAATTTAGAATGTCAGTACGTTGATAAAAAAAATCCATTTCAGAATAGCTGATTTTGCAACAATTGGATATTTAAAAAAACTAGAAAGAACAAAAGAAATAACTTTTTGTTCATATTATAGAAATATGTATTTCCAGCCTACCAACATAATTTCAAGCATAAGTCATCATATTGCTTCTATAGTAATTTCATCATACTATCACTACTTTTCTTGAACTTTATACAGCCCCTTAGTTTAATTTTTCATTTGTTTTTAAGCAAAGTACAGAGCAGTGGCTGGACTCTTTACTTGCACAAACCAAAAACCTCCTAATTCTGGTTTTCTTTGTATTCTCATGGTATTCAGATCATCTGGCCCCTGAAAATGCATATTTGCCATCTTTTGGACCATTCAGAATTAGTTTCTTTCAAAGATTCAAGGCTAACAGTAGCTATGGTGAAATCTGATGTGAACAGATGACCTTACTTTCTTTCCACATCCTCTCTTCCCCTCTACTAACCAAGTAATGATGTTTTCACCTTATATCTTCCAATTTTCCAGTTTTAGATTTTGGTTTACGGGCAAGTTTTAGCTCCATAGCTGTGGATGGGTAAGCAGGCTAGACAAGTTACATCAGTGTCAGGACTATATATTCTTGGATAACAAACCACTACAAAGAAAACAAATATACTGAGTAGATTTGCACACTGATGGTAAATACAACTTACCTAGTTCACGCAACTCTTAGACTGAGGAACATTTGGTCAGTCAGTTGAAGATTATTATTTCTTATAGTGCCTCAAATTCTATGATGAGATAATGTTAAATAGAAAGGACAGATATTCTAATTTTAACTTGATTTTTTTTACTAGTTTTTATTTTAGCTTTTACTATGTGTTCTCACAATGTTCTACCTATATTATGCACTGAACTTACTCTCAATTTATTCTTGATAGAACTATTCAAATTCCCTTCACTGTACAGTCACCTAGATGATGTCTACTACAAATGGAGTCTCATTGATGAATACTAATAGTAAGATCATTATTTGGAACCCTGAGCATGAACTTTCACTTCCTTCAGTTAAATTTAAGAAAATCATGGGATCAACGTGGCAGAAAGATGTTTAATCCAATATTCAATTCAGTAAGTCCAAGTTATTCATCTATTCTTCTGATGATGATACCATATTAAAAGTAAGTATTCTAATTTTATAATTACCGCAGCAGCTAACACAGTCACCGTGTAGAATATCATTTTTCCCAAAGCCTGGTTGACAGCTATCAATGCGTATAACTTTAGAGCTGTGGTCAACATAACGGATGTTTGGTATATAGTAAAGTTCATGTTTCAGAATATCTGTTTAAGAAAGAATTCTTCTATGTGATCTCTTGCCTAAGATTTGGAAAATACTACAAAGAAGAACACTCAATTATTAAAAGCTTGTACCAGTGCTTCCCTTTCACTAGACTGTACAAAAAAAAAATACAGAATAAGTATATGATATTTTGTACAATAAAGGAATTCCTGAAGAGCTCAGTGTAAATTAAATTTTTTGTAAATATCGTATTTCAAATTCAGGAAGGAAGCCCTTTGTAATAATAACTTCACATTTATATAATGTTTTATGGTCACAAAGCATGTTATTAAATTTTATTTTATTTAAAGGAGACATTATTTTATAAATGTCTTTGATATGATTTGAAGATGATTATTTTGTAATTTATCTCCTCAGCACATCCAAAGTAATTTATCTAAGGTACCTAAGGTACAGGTCTGTGTCACTCTCTTACTCAAAAATCTTCAGTGGCTCCCTACTGCCCTGAAGATAAAATGCAAACTCCTTAAGCGAGCACTCAAGGCCCTCCCCAGTCTGCCTTCTACCTACCTATTCCAGCCTTATCTCATACTCCTCCACTTCCTAGTCACCCTACATTTCTTTCTTTCTTTCTTTTTTGGTCTCCTACTGCATCTGGGGCCATCTCCAGTTATCCTGATCTATATCCTGCCACTGGACCCAGATGGCTCTGGAGGAGCAAGTGAGGCTGCTGACTTTGCACAGACCTCCCTCACTTCAATCCAATTCACTTACATGTCATGGCATCATCTTCCTGATGTCATGGTCCTCTTTGAGAACAAAGGACAAACAACAACAACAACAACCCTACATTCCAGAAAAATTAGACAAAGAGCTATTTTTCTAACTCAAAACTCCTTCACCAGCTATCCTCCATTCCTACAATGTACTTTCTCTTCACTTCCAGAGCCCAGAATCCTTAGCTTCCTTTAAGGCTCAGTCTTTCCTGATTCGTTGGTGATTGGTCTATCCCTCAATTTTCCTTGTATTCCTTATTTGGGATTAAGTTGTAACCCTCTGATAGAATGTAAGCTACCCAAGGGCAGCGACTACTCCATTTTTGTCTTTGCATTTCTAGAACTTGCACATAGTAGACACTTAGTACATATTTATTGGTTTGGATTGGAATTACATGCTAGTGGAGAGTCATGGTAGCATGGATGATTCAAAACCTCAAATAACTGATCTCAAGGGGACTACAAAATAAGAAGATGGATAAAATAATTACTTGGGTTTTAATGTATTTTTCTCTTGGCAGATTTACCCTCCAAATTTTTAGCCTAGCTTAGTATATGTGTTGTTGTCTGAGGGGCAATATTTTGCTTGAATATGGGGAGTATTTAATAATTAAGCCTCTCCCAATCTGACTGATAAAATCACAGGATGTAAGCAGCAGTAATACAGACGATGAAGCATAAGAGCATGGCCCTTTCAGATTCTGAGTGGCCTGATTATAAAGGGCATGAAACTTCGGCTTATTTGTACCCCATAAAATATGTGCCTTTTCAGCCATAGATTAATGTTTATTTTACCTCTACATTATCTCTTGCATCTAGCTCTTCCTCCCCACTGAAGCTCAGGCCTTCATTTCACTTCTAGTTCTAAATCTATGGTTTTTGATCTTCTTGCCTCCACTGATATAATGACCCCTTAGTGGGTCTTCTTGCCTGCAATCTATCCCTTCATTACCCATCTTCTACACAAACTGCCAGACTAATCTTCCTAATGTACCACCGTGATCATATCATTCCTCTGCTAAAGAAGCAAAAGGCACTGGGAAGAAGATTGTTGGATCTGTAATTAGGAAGACTTAAATGTGATTCCTGCCTCTGACACTTATTAGATATGTGACCAGGGGCAAGTACGGTAATCTCTGAGCCTCAGTTCCCTCACATTTAAATATACCCCATGCTTAGAACAAATCCATAACCTCTGAGAATAATATCATGCTTATTCTAGTTGTATCTCATCACTATCTGAAGAATAAAGAATAAAAATCCTATCTTATTCTCATGGAAAAATTAAATAAAATTAAGGGTATTATGTATAATTAGAAAGAACTATGCTATGTTCCAGGTGTTTAACTTTTAGGAAATGTGAAAAAAAAAAAGATATAGCATGTTAATGCTGATCTATTTGTACAGTAGAATAATTATAAAGCCCATCATACCATTTTTTCATCAAATGAGATAATGCATGTATCCTATTTAATGAAATAATTATGTAGAATGCTCTACAGCCCATAAACACCTCCCAGGACTACTTTAGAAAGCCAAGAATAAAAGATAATAATGCTTGTAATTTGAGCTTTTTTTTTTTTTAATCTTAAGAGGACCTGCTTTAAATCTACTTGTCCTTCAAATGTTGCTATGACAATTAGCATAGGCTGCTATGCAAACAGAAAGTTTCAAAATGGACTTAATTAATAAAGAAATTTAGCTGGTTTTAATATGCAAATGAACCATCATTTTCACTTTTTTTTTTTAACCTTGTACTGAAATTCCCACCTGGTGAACTTTACTGTTAGTGATTTCTTCACAGTCAACAAAGTTTTCTGCAAGCTGCTTTCCACTCTGGTGGAAAAGATCTTACTGGAAAGAAAAAAATAGTGGGTTCAACAAGGACGGTGACATCACCTATTCCAAAGGGAGGCTGTTCTGAGTAACCATTGGTAACGGTGCTTTTACTCCACCTATGCATTAATGAGAGAAACTACAAGGTACAGACTACAGGTCAGTTCTTTTAGGGATTTAGTGCTGGAAAGGACCTCAAAGATCAAGTAGTCCAGTCTCATTTTACATATGAAGGAACTGAGGCTCTGGACATAAGTAACCATGGTCACGTAGATAGTAGGTAACAGTACTGGAATTCATACATTAGTCCCTCTGACACCAGCTCTGGCCCTCTTCTCACTACACCATAGTTTTTACTTAAAATGATATAATTTTGCAAATGCAGTAATATGGTAACTATCAACAGCACTGCTATAGGTTATATTCTAATCAGGTTGTCTTGCAAAGTGTAGGTAACAATATATCAAAATCTGAAGCAAGTGAATTCAAAATTAATAAAATAATCCAGTGAGGAAAATGATAGTAATTTAAGATTAAAAACTCTAACCACTACAAAGCTAGACAATATTTGTTACCCATACCCTATAGCATTCAATATTAAGTATAATATTTAGAGGACACAACTTAGCAGGCAGTATTCCACCCCATAGGGGCAGCTAGGTGGCATAGTGAATAGAGCACTGTACTTGGAATCAGGAAGACTCATCTTACTGAGTTCAAATCTGGTCTCAACACTTTGTAGCTGTGAGACCCTGGGCAAGTCACTTGCCTCTGTTTGCCTTAGTTTCCTCATCTGTAAAATGAGCTGGAGAAGAAAATGACAAATCACTCTAGTATCTTTGCCAAGAAAACCCCAAAAGGGGTCACGAAGAGTTGGACACAACTGAAATTATTCAACAAATTCCATTGCGTAGCTATTAGTAGTAATTATGCCACTCAATGGTTTGTTATAGATCAAGACTATGCTACCTATTAAATAAAATATTTTAAAAATTCTACCTTGAAAGGCTATAAATAATTCATCCTTGAGGCCATGTTTTGGAATTTCAAGGAAATGGCATTTATGTGATAGTTCTTCAATGTGGCATGTCAAATCAAAGATAACTTTATTTAAGATCCTCATCAGTAATTTGAAGAACTGAGAATTTTTTTTCCATTACAAGAATCTGTGGTAAATCATACAGTCATCTGATATACATAATCAGATTCCTGGTATACTAAAGCAGATGGATATATGAATAATGTATGTTCAGTATGATTTTCTTTGCTACACGTATCAGTTGCAAATAAACAAAATTCACCAACCCAGAAAAAATGCTTTAGCACCTTGTCCTTCATCCAAGATCCATAAATAGTCACAGTAATAAAATCACTATTCTTATTATTGCGCTATAAGGAATAACTATGGGGAATGCAGAGGAAAATGAGAAGACTTACAGGAATTGATACAGAGCAAAGAAAGCAGAACCAGGGAAACAAAATATATAATGACTATAAGAATGTAAATGTAAACAACACTAAACTGCAGTTGGAACTTAAAAAAAAAACAGTCTTTGTCCCAGAGAACATACTTGCCTCCTATCAGTATAGAGGCTAAGGCCATGGCAGTGGACTATGACATTCGCTGACATAAGAGGACACTTTGTTGGTCAGTTTTGTGTAACTTTTTGTTATAAAAAGGGGCTTTTATGGGGGATGTTATATTCTTTTCACCTGGCTTAAGTAATTACTTACCTAGCACAAAACAGGCAAGTTCCTTCTGTAAGTTGGCAATTGGTAAATTGGTAAGAAAAGTAAACTCTATTAAGACTATTAACAACACTGAGCTTTCCTCACTTTTTTTCCTCGGCTATTTTCTGTACTTACAGGCCTATTCTGAAATAGAGATGGAGTAGTGAAGAAACAAAACTATACACCCCTATTTGCAGTTGCCATTATTTCCTTTAAACAGGGCTGTGGAAATGAACAATTATATTGGGGGGAGGGTGATTTTGGAATTAGCAGAATAGTATTACAGCTATCAGCTCAATCTTGTGAAATGATGATTATTTTCTGCCTGTAGATCTAAAAAGGATCTGAGTGTGGTAATCAGAGGAATCCCTAATTTTCTGGAATTCCTTCCATGGCACACCTCCCACAGAGCTGGTCATGTGCTCTGGCTCCTTTCTGAGGGACATGTGCTCTGGTCCCCTGTTGAAAGACTTATGCCTTGCCGAGATGATACAGCAACTCCTGATTGATTGAATAAATAAAATATTTATTAAACACTTACTATGTGCAAAGCAGTGTGCTCAGTGCTGAGGATACACCTAGAAAAGTTAGACAGTCCTTGATCTCAAGTAGCTCACATTCTAACTTAGGAGACAACACATATGAAAGGTTTCAGATACAAGTCAGATGAAAAAGTTCCATGTTCCTCAGGTCACGGTGATAAAGCAGATAGTAATGCCTTTTTTTTTTTTAGTAAAATTTTTTTTTTAGGCAACTGAGGTTAAGTGACTTGCCCAGGGTCACACAGTAGTGTCAAGTGTTTAGTCTGAGGTTGGATTTGAACTCAGGTTCTCCTGATTTCAGGGCCAGTGTTCTATCCACTGCACCACCTAGCTGCCCCATAATGCCTCTTCTTTAAGGTCGTTTCCAATGATAAAATCATCTCAGATTCCAATGTTGAACCATTTGACAGTGCCAAAAACTTTGGTGACAAGAACCTTCCTTTCTGACTGGTCCTCAATGCCTAAGTTTGCACTGAAAATGACTGGTTACTGTGAGGTATGAGGCAGGGTTACCAGTTTCTTGTTCAGGAACCTTTTCCCTTGGGAGTTAGTCTTTTAAGAGTGAGGCTTCCCTCTTCAGCCCTCTTTTGGGCCCTTTAATTTGTGTGTACTTTTCCTTCTCCTGGACTTCTAGGATGAGGAAGTGATTTATCTATTTCTCTTCCCCCCCCATAAATGCAATGGTGGCTGCAAGATCATGGCAGGCAATGCATGTTTGCCTGGGTGAGCTCCTGAGTTGCTGGAGGCTTTCTTACACTTTAACGCTTTCTTCCCTTAGCCTAGGCCAGTGACAAGGAAACCTGAAAAATGAACTTTTCCATCCTTGGCAATGACCTGGCTCCAGAGTTCTAAAGTCAGGAGATTCTGGGATTAATATCTTAGCACTTTTAGCAATTTTTGGAGACAGATTTTCTGTTCTTATCGCACCAACTTATCCTGTCCACTAAGCCAATGTGAAGGGAAGGTTTCAGCAATAAAAAAATTTAGTTGATAATAAGTTAAGATTTTGACTGGGTAAACACATCTAAATGTTCTGTAGATTTTTGGTGTTCTGTTGTTTCAGTCATTTGCGACTTCTTAACCCCACTTGGGGTGTTCTTGGCAAAGATACTGGAGTGGTTTGCCTTTTCCTTCTCTAGCTCATTTTACAGATGAGGAAACTGAGGCAAACCAGGTTAAGTGACTTGCCTAGGGTTACACAGCTAATAGGTATCTGAGGACAGATCTGAACTCAGGAAGATGAAACTTCCTGACTCCAAGCCTAGCACTGTATGTACCGTGCCATCTAGCTGCCCCTTCTGTAGATCAGTCATACTCTACGTTATAATTATAGTTTAATAGGCTCCACTAAATGTTGAAATCACACAACTAACTAAGCTTCATATGTACTGATTGAAATGCTTTTATATACTTACCAAATACCATAAATGTATATGTTATATAGCTCTTGTTCTTTTTGTGTTTCTTCGCTGATGATTTTATAAGTAAGAATACATATATAAGATCCAGACACAGATTCTTGAAAATTTATAATCATTAGCTTTCCTGTTGAAGTTAGGTTTATATGATTTTCCTCTAAATAGAAAGACCAAATTTGAGAGTTATTAAGTACATAATTGATTCAAAACCTAATGATACATGTAAATACAGTATCAAAGAATCAGTTTTACTAAACAAAATCCAGTACAATCTTGATTTTGCTGTATTACAGAAATTTTGCTATATTTACAGAAAAAATAGGTCTTGTAACTAGGGATAGTTTTGTATCGTAACAGTTTTTATTTTTTAGATTTCTTTGATACTGAATCTTTTCCTAAAAAAAGTTAATTTTACCTGCTTATGCCAATAATTCAGATGGGGCAGGTAGGTGGTGCAGTGGACACAGTGCCAGGCCTGGAGTCAGGAAGACTCATCTTCATAAGTTAAAATCTGCCCTCAAAACACTAGCTGTGTGACCCTGGGAAAGTTACTTAACTCTGCTGGCCTCAGTTTCCTTATCTGTAAAATAAGTTGGAAAAGGAAATGGCAACTCACTCTAGTATCTTTACCAAGAAAACCCCAAATGGGGTCACAAAGAATTGGACATGACTGAAAATGACTAAACCACCGCCACAACAATTAATTTAGATAGGAATTACACTTTTCTGGAGTACCATAAATCTCTGAGAAATCTGCCTCTTCTAACTTCTCTCTTGCTGTTAATGACATCACAAATTCTCCCAGTCACTCAAGCTCAAGACTCTTCTTTCTTCCTCATGTTCATAGCCAATCAGTTCCCAAATTCTGTCTTTTTGACCTTTACAGTCTCTATGACTTTCAACTCCAAAGGCTTAGACTTTCCTTACCTCTCACTTGGACTATTACAAGCTTCCTAACTTGTCTCCCTGTCCCCAGTCTCTATTCTCTCCAATCTGTATTTCTCTCATTTCTCTTCCTCATTATTCCCTTGCTAAAAACCTTTAGTTTTTATCCTCTGCTTACTGAATGATACACCTGTTCCTTCACCTGGGATTCAGGACCACAATCCAAACTACCTTTATAGGTTTATACAGCTAACATTCACTATTTCTACTTTAAAATTACACAGGAAAAGTCATTTAACTTTTTTTACCCTTTTACTCAATGTTCCCACTATCAGGCATATGTCCCAAGGGGGTCAAAGACAGAAAGGAAGGTTCCATTTGTACAAAAATATTCACAGTAGTACTTTTCTTGCAGCCTAAAACAAAACAAAACAAAAAACTGGAAACAAAGTGGGACCCACTGATTGGGGAATGGCTGAACAAACTGTGGTAGGTATATGATATAATGGAATTTTATTGCTCTGTAGGTCATAAATATGAATAATTTGGGGAAACATGGTAAGACATATCAATTGATATATAGAAAGCAGAACCTGGAGAATAACATAGACAATGACCATGATAATTTAAACAAAAACAAAAGTGATGTCAGAATAAGTGCTATCTCGGTCCCAAAGAATAGATGATGAAGTATTTCCTTCCTCTCAGAGATGGGTGGCTATGGGTATGGTATACTGCAGCTAGGTGGCATAGTGGATAGGGTGCTGGACCTGGAATTAGGAAGACCCACGTTCAAATCTGGCTTTAGACACTTACTAGCTGTGTGGCCCTGTGCAAATCACTTAACCTCTCTGTGCCTCAGTTTCCTCATCTGTAAAAATTAGGGATTTGCACTTGATAGCCTTTTAGGTCCCTTCTGGCCCTAAATATATGCTCTTATGATCCCTTTACATTATCAGTAAAGAAACCGAAATCTAGCCTCAGTGCAAATCGCTTAACCTTTGTCTGTCTCAGTTTCCTCAACTATAAAATGGGGATGATAATAATAGCACCTACCTCCTAGCATTGTTGTGAAGATAAAATGAGATGGTGTTGGTAAAGTGCTTTGCATATTTTAAAGGCTAAATAAATGCTAGCTATCATTATTGTTATTAGACCTATGTTATGTTGGTCAATTTTAATTAACACTTTGTTATAGGGAGGGTTCTGGGTTTTGGTGACTTTAGTGAAAAAACATAAGGCATCAAACTCACCACCACCAAAAGGCAAATTCAACGTTCTTGATCTTATCCTGTTCTTTCCTGCACCTGGGCCTTAGCATACGTTCTTCTTCAAACCTGAAATTGTCTCTTTCCCTCTTCTCTATTGAAATCCCCTCCTGTGAGGACCAACTGATATGCCAGCTCCTCCATAAAACTTCCTCTGATTCACCCTTCCTGAAATAATCTCTCCCTTCTCACATCTCTTATGATCAAACATCTCCTGTGCGTTATCATATTATAGCGTGTTATTGTTGTTGTTTTATAATGTATTATTTATCTTATTCCTTTCCATTAGAGTGCAAGCTCCTTAAAGGCAGGGGCTGTGTCTTGTTTCATTTTTGTTAGAACCAGTGCCTAGCGCTCTATCCATCTATTTCTGCACATCTAGCTCTGCCCATGTCACCCTGGACAAGTCCCTTACTCATACTAGATTTCCTTTTCTTTACTGATAATGTAAAGGGATCATAAGAGCATATTTTTAGGGCCAGAAGGGATCTAAAAGGCTATCAAGTACAAATTCCTAATTTTTACAGATGAGGAAACTGAGGCACAGAGAGGTTAAGTGACTTGCCCAAGGTTACACTGCTAGTAAATTTATGAGGCATGATTCAAACCCAGGCCTTCCTGATTCTGAGGTTAGGTCTCTTTATACACTATCCCATCTGGCCTCTCACTAGCTATATAATATAAAAAACTTAGAGAAAAAAAATAGGTTAACAAGAATAGCTTTACATATTTACTGTTCTCTACAAATGATCTATCCCATGGTAGTTCACATATGACTTGAGAGTTCACACACACACAATGACAGTTACAGGAAACTGTTCTGATAGGTCAAACATTTTGATAACAGTTAATAATCACTACTTGTTACACAGAATCAGGTCAAACATATAGCAAGAAGTAAATGAACAGATTCTGCAGTAACATAACTGAAATAAAGTGAAAAACATTCCTTTTTATCAACTGTAAGAATGGAACACTGTTTTCATAAGGTATTCTATGGAGGATGTTTGCGTTGCTCTGGGATAACAGACAGAATTGAATTTTTTTTTTAAACACACAACCAAATAATCAAGGCATGTATATTTTTGCAAAAACAACAGCCAGTTTAAGATACGATAGGAGGACTCCATGAATAAAGTAAACCTAGACCATTCAAAACTCCTATGATCCCTTGTGGGTTGTGTGGTATTTAGAGGGTAAAAAATTACCCTTATTACTTAAATACTTAATACTAGAAGCATCGCCTAATCCCTAATATTTTGCGGAGGTAGGTTACCAGTGTTCCCACCACCCAAGGGTTTGCAGAAAGAAAATCAAAACATAAGATAACTTCCCCAAGGACAGAGGATCGTAGAATTATGAATTTAGATTTGGAAGGTATCTAAGACATCACTTGGTCTATCCTCTTCATTTTATAGATGAGGAATCTGACTTTGCTCACATTCACACAAGTAGTTAGGTCAAGCAGAGCAAGTGAAACAGGTTAAACTCCTACTACCCGTATGTTTCTCTATCCAATGTGCTTAAAAATGTAAATATTATTAAAAATGAAGGCAATTTGTTTTTAGTTTTGTCTCTATTTCCCTTGTGCCTGATGCAGTGACTTGGATACAGCAGTCATTTAATAAATGGACTGGCTTGGATTAGATGTACTCAAGTAATTTGCCTTTCAAATGCTTTCTATTTGGTCCCATCCACAAAGTTATGGGGTCTACTATTTCTGTTTGAGAAAGCTCCATATCCATGCAGATAAGAAATGGACTATTTTCATGCATTTTTACATAGATTTTCACTAATGTAGAATAAAAAAAGTAAATAGCACTTAGCATTATAGTAAAATGACATAAAACTACCTAGGTCTTCTCTGTCTTTAAATTACCATAGTAAATTATTAGTGCTTCAGTACTAAAAATCAAATGTTTCCAAAGAAAAACAAACTCCTTTCAACATCTAAGCCAATAGAGATGGGTCTCCCTGAATCCAGCTTCTCCCCATCCCCCACACATCTGCTAAATTGATAATCCTAATGAACAGGTCAGATCCTATGACTTGCCTGCTCAGTAAACAACAGTAGCTCCCTATTGCCTATAGGATAAAATAAAAACTCCTCTCTCTGGCATTTAAAGTCTAGAGTCTAACTCCATCCTATCTTTCCAAATACATTCCTTTCTCTTTCTACAATTCAAACAAACTAGCCCACTTACTGTTTCCCTTTAGAAAACATTCTATCTCCAAACTCTGGGCCTTTTTGCAAATGTTACACCCTTCCCCCACCCCCACCAGAATACATTTCCTCTTGCACCTCTTGTAACCCCCGGCTCCCCCAAAGATCAGCTCTAGTGCTACTGGAAGCCTGATTCCCCTCCCCCACCTTGGTACTATCTTACCCTAATTACTTTGAATTAATTTTGTATATATTTTGCATTTATTAAGCTGTGGATATTCTTCTTCTCCCCCCCCCCACTGTTCCTTAAGGAACAAAGTAACCAGGGTAAGATGCTTATAGATTCTCATCGTTAGACCTAATGACAATTTTGTGTCCAAGTGTATGCCCCCTCCATATTGTTTGTTTAGAGTAATAAATGGGAATGCAGGAAGGTCTGGGATGATAACCAAAGTCTGTTACTAACATCTTTGTTTCAGATTTAGCAATAGGACCAAGCTATGACACTTTGGGTTATTATACAGTTAGGAAAGTTACTGTCAAGTTCACTGAGTCTCAGTTTCCCCCTCTATATCAAAAAGTAAGGACAATTTCTCTCCATTTCAAGTCAATACTGTAAGAAAGATTATCAAAATATAGAGCTGGATTTTGTGGGACTTAGCATCTTGTAGTGGGAAATGTCTCACATATTACCTGGGTGTCCTGTGCTGCCATAAATGTAGTTTTTGATTTCTGGGACAGAAAGCTGCTCTCCTACTCCTGAGGAAAGAAGCCAACAAGGTCTCTTTAGTGAGATGTAGGGCTCCCGGGAGGCGAGGAAGCCAACAAACTGAAGCAGGATACCGTAATATTTTAATCCGCAGTAGTGTATGAATAAGGGATTTAGTATCACAGGAATCTAATCCCGGGTCTGCCATTAATCAGCTGTGTGACCTTGGCCGAATCACTTCCCCCCTCTTGTGCCTCTGTCCCGTCAAATGGGGGAGAGGAAACTTTGGTCTTTAAGAAAACCCCATCCAGGAACAATGAACAAAAAAAAACTCCAGGGTGGATGAGGTCTGGGATCCCAAGAGGTGTAAGAGATGTGGTCTCCTCCTTTGAAGGATAGGATATTATCCTGGCGTACCTCCAGCAAGGTACAGGAACACCGAAGGGAGCAGGGCCCAGCCTTGCTCCATGGCCTAGAAGCTTTCCTCCAAGGGAAGGTGGGGGTGGGAGGGAGGCGTCGGGAGGACTTAATGGCTTCTTCACCTCGGCTTCATCCCGCCCTCCCCCAGCCGCTTCCCCGCCAACTCAGTGTTCCCTGGAAACCTCTCGGGCCGTCCGACCGCGCTCCGGTCGTCTGGCCTAGAGCAAACTGCAGCATCTTGCGCTGGCGCTGGGCCGCGCGCTAGGGGCTGTAGCGGGTGCTCGGGGCTGGGCCGCGCGCCGGACGCGGGTCAGCTAAGAGTTGCATCGCGCTCAGGGCGTTTGGCCACGCTCTAGGGGCTTGCGTCGAGCTTAGGCCGTACTATCTTGTGCCAGGGGCTGAACCGCGCGCTGGAGAGCAGGCGCGCGCTAGAGGCAGCATCTCCTAGAGGGGCTGCATAGCGCGCTGGGCGTGGCATCTTATACGAGGGCCTGGATCGTGCACTGGACACCAGTCCCCGCGCGAGTGAAAGGCGGCCTTTCTCGCCTCCACGGGAAAGTCCGTTAAATTGTAGGCAGAAGGAAAGGAGAGTGCAGAGGGAAGAACAGAGAAGGGAGGGAAAGGAAGCTCTTCTAGTGGCGTGGTTGAGGGAGGAGGGAGGTGTTCGAAGGACACCGCGATGACACTGCGTTTCCCTCCGCCTCGCTGTCTATGGTCGCCAACGTGTAAAGAGAATTTTCTCCTATAACAGCTATAAGAGACAGCCTCGCGTGGGAACGCCCTCTTCATTTCTTCTCATGAAATCTTGTCCGAAAGCAAGCACCCGTTATTCTTCGAGACCCACCCCAAGCCGAAGCCCGTCCAGACTTGCTGCTGGGAGAGCACAAAGCGAGGCCTGGAGAGGGGGGAGGTGTGAAGGAGGCTCCCAGCTTTCCTCCTCCCGGTCCCGCCTTGGCTCTGGGCGCGCGCGCGCACACACACACACACACACACACACACACACACACACACACACACGCTTCGACTAGAAGGTGCTGCCATCAGTTGCCGTGGCAACCAAAGCTTGGCTACTCCCTCCCCCTCTTCCCCCCTTCCCCTCCATGGCTGGACTAATCAAACACTGCGAATTTCCCCATAGAAAGCTCTTAGAGAGCATGTAAATAGCCCCAAAAAACTGTGAGCCCAAAACACCAAGGCTAAGCCTCAGAGGCTCCTTCAGACCCCTGAGGCATGATGGAGTGCTGATGGGGATAGGGATGGAGATGGGGAAGGAATGGGGGGAGTAATGAGATTTTTTTGTGGGCTATCCTTCACTGTAGAGGGACAGCCCCCGCCTGTGGGTGGGATAGAGAGCCCAAGGTTCAGACAGGGTGCAGAATGATTATTTGGGGTGAGATTGAGGGTTTTCAGTTTTAGTTCCTTTAAGCCGAGTCAGTCCTAGGACTCTTTCAGATAGTCCAAGAGGAGCCTTTGTCAGTGATTTTCAATTTTAGTCAGTGGTAATTTTGCCTGCATGGCGATAGTGTGAAAAGTGATTCGGTGAGTCAGACCCACCCTTTGTCGGTTACCCCATGTCTCAAGATTCGAGTCTCAGTCTCAACTGTCCCCTTGTTCTAGAGGAGATGGAAGCAAATTTAGCCTGAATTTATATTCTGTTGCTCAGAAACGTGTTATTCCAGTTTTACTCATTATTACCATAATGCCCAGTTTTTCAGTATTTCCCAAATGATTATAAACATTTTAATTACATAAGTTTTGTTAAGTTTGTGAGATAGAAAAGAATTAAATCCTAGGAAAGGGATAAGCAAAGTAATAACTTATCACTGAAACTGGATTTTCTTTCCACCGGTGTTCCAATTTAATTAACATTACACAGTAATACTCTCTGGGGAGTTTAAAATATCTAATATTTAATCCAGACTTTAAGAAACAGACTTTGAATTGTGTGATTAAAATATGCATAAAATACATTTGCAGGAGAGATATGAAGGTATTTTTAAACAAACAACGATTCATCCTCACACCATCCCTGTAAAGTTTTACAGTTCCTCTTCTACTTTTTGATGTGCTATTTTTGCTTTTAGAAACTAACAAATAACAAATTTCCCCTTTCCGCACTAAAATTAGAGTGTTTTACAGCAATGTTCTGAAATTGGCATTATCCTTTGAAACTCCAGCCAAAACAAGGCATTAAGATGCTACTATTTTGTCATAATCTTAAAAGAAAATGCAAGTTTATCCATTTATTCAACATTATTATTGAGTGCCTACTGGTTGCAAGACATATTTAGGGGCAAAGGAAAATAAACCCCAGACCAAAACATATATTCTTTAGCTGCAAATGTGAATATGTTTTGACATGGCCTGCTAATGCAGTAACCTCATTAATATTAACAACTTTCAACCCCAAATATAGGACACCTACACATGCAACAAAGCAAAGCACATATCTAATAAAGGCTTGCAATAGCTTATTTTAGAACCATTCATTTCTGTGATATTTTGGTGACTGATAGAGGAGAGGCTAAATTGTTTTTGACTTACTTGGTGTGTAATTGGTATTAACTTATCTGAATTTATATTGTTTTTCCCAAAAAGAATCTTTAACAGCAGGGATTTTTTTTGTCTTTGTTTATCTAGCACAGTCTTTGGCACATAGTAGGCAGTTTTAATACATGCTTGTGGAATGAACAAAAAGGTCCCAGAGGGGGAGAAAACTGAATTACTTAACTCCATAAATGAAAATAGACTTTTCTGAGATGGTACCATGACAGAGCCTTTGTTAGCCACTCAGAGCCTTTCAGAAAATTCTAATAAGAATGATGGGCACATAGAATTTGGAGCTGGAAGGAAATTTAGAGATTACCTAGTCCAATCCTCTCCTTTTACAAACAAATGGACCAAGGCCCAGACAACTTAAATGATTTGCCCTAGTTGACATATAAAGTGGTTGGAATTCAGATCAAGTCCTTTGATTCCAAATATATTACTCTTTCTCTCCCACTCAGTACAGCCTCAGATGTATTTTTGTTTGTCCGTCTCATGATGCTAAACAAAAATGCTGACACAATACATAGATGCAGGGTCATATGTTGCTTAAAGTGCAGGGTTTCAAATTCTACCTCATATACTTGCTGTGTGACCCTGGACAAGTCACTTAACTTCTCTGGACCTCAGTCACCTCATTTATAAAACAGGGATAATAATAGAACTTACATCAGAGGCTTATTGTGATATATGTATGTAAAGTTCTTTGGAATCCTTAATACACTATATGTTGTTGAGTTGTATCCAACTCTTTGTGACCCCATTTGGGGTTTTCTTGGCAAAAATACTGGAGAAGTTTGCCATTTCCTTCTCCAGCTCATTTTACAGACAAGGAAATTGGGGCAAACAGGGTTAAGTGACTTGCTCAGGGTCCCACAACTAGAAAGTGTCTGAGGGCACATTTGAACTCATGAAGATGAGTCTTCCTGACTCCAGGTTTGGCAAACTATACACTTCTACACTTAGCTGCTCCCAAAGCACTATATTGTAAGCTATTATTATTATTATTAGATACTGTTTTTTTATTACATATTAATGGATCAGCAAATCTACTGTCATTATTTTCTAGAACTCAAAATTAGTGATTAAGTAGTTGCAAATGTTTTGTTTTAGTCCATTTCTTAAGAGAAAGCTCATATTTTACAGAGTTCTTAACCAGGGGTCCATATATCCCTTGGTCCATTGATATATTTTAAGGGGTCCATATATTTGGAAAATATTACATCTTTATTTTAATATAACTGGTTTCCTTTATAATCCTATGTATTTTATTTTGTGCATTTAAACATATTATTCTGAAAAGTGTTCTGTAGGTTTTCCCAGACTGCCAAAGTTGTCTATGACACACACAAAAAGGTTAAAAACCCCTGATCTAAAATATCTTTTGAAAATAATTTTTATTTTGAACTTAATAAAAATGGGTTTTCCCATATGCATAGTAAGGAGAAGACTGTACATGAAACTATGAATCCCTCATATTTGCTAAAACATCTTGTCAAGAGCTGTCAGATAGAATTTTTTAGGGACCTACTTTAATGAACATGCAATAACAATTTGTAATTAGTGTATCGAATATATGTAAGTGAATACTCTTAAAGTATTTTTAAATAGTTTGTTCCTTTAAATAGGTTAAATGGATTTTCTGCAATTTTGTTTACTCCATTAATTTGGTTAATTTTTTTAAATATGAAGAATAGTTTCTACCTTTCCTTCTGCCTACTAGTTAATTTTTCATGCCTTTCTGGTTCTGAAATAAAGAGAAAGTTAAGTAAAAAACAAACGGACAAACAACATCTTATTGTTGGAGGTTTGTCATTTTGGTAGTTTTGAGTATAAAATATTCAACAAATTCAAGTGTAGCCCCGGGGGCTTGCCTGAATGAGGCCCAGGGGCAGTGGCAACACCAGCTCTGAGAAGAAACCATCTTGATTTCCACCCCTCTACAACTTTTTTCAAAACATCCCTTTGCTTACATATAGGTCACTTGGAGAACTTGTACTTAGTTTTTTTTTTTTTTTAATGCAGTTTTTAACATGTGAAGATTGTAGTGGTTAAGAACACAAAGGAACAAAATATCTGAAATGAAAAGGTTAAAAAATTACTTAGTATTAGTACTTCGAACCAAGTGAGTTCTAATGACTATCTGTTCCCAGTCTGTTTTTAAGTCCAAGACATATTCAACCCAAATTTAACAAACATTAATCATTAGCCTATTATGAGCTAGGTTTTGAGGAATAAAGATGGTAACTAGACATCATCTCTGTCCTCAAGTGACTTCTGGATAGGAATGGGGAGAGGATAGGTGGAGATAATTATGCAAATGATTATAATACAAGTTGGAATGTAAATTCTAGGAGGAGTGCAGAATGTATTAGAATGTATTAGAAATTTGTGGGAGACTTTATTTAAGCATATCTAGCTAAATGATTTGAATGAAAAGTTACAAGAAAACAAACCAAATTAACAACAAAAACCCTCCTCCCTAAAACAGTATTATACATTCACACGCGTTCTTCTAACGTAAGAGTTTTTGCTACTATTTCAACACAATCATTAATGCATAGTTTCCTTTACGAAGTAACAAAGAAGCAGCCACTCTTCCGCCACCCCTTCTCTTTCCAAAAAAGAGGCTCACGTTTTGCTTCACAAGTTTGACATTTAAGAGGGAAAACTAAAAGGAATATATGATTCTCAGGCACCCCTTTGTAATAAAAGTCCTTTAAAAAGGCCACCACCAGCCAGCGCCGCTCTAACCTCATACACAGAAGTCGTACCTAGTTCCTGTCACTTTAAAGCTCTGCTGACGCCACTCGAATGTATCCAGAGGGGAAGTCCCTGCTCAGGGAATCTCCCGCCAGCTGCAGTGCAGGATCCCAGCGACTCTGGAGGAGCACGTGGAGCAGCAGCAGCCCCAGCAGCAGTAGCAGCCCCAGTAGCAGCAGGAGGATGGAAGGTGAGAGGCGAACCTCATTCTTTTGAGGAGTCTTTGAAAAACTTCGTCAGTTAAGGGAGTCCCTTCTCTCGGTTTTACTTCTGTTTATTTTGCAGAAAGTAAATATGATGTATTTCAGAGGGCAGAGGCTTGAAGGTTTTCACCCCTTTGGTGCAAAGACCTTTTGTCTTCTTTAAGTTGATTTTACACGTAGATGGTTGTCAGAAATTAGATGGCAAACCCGTTAGACATCAAAGAATCCCTAAGTTGTGGAGTGCCCCATTGCTACAAAACTAGGAAACAAAACAGACTCCCTTTGAATGTCAAGTGGCCATTGGGATTGGGCTAATTTTGAAGCATTGGCTGTGAAGAAAAGAAGGTACTCTTTGTTTGTTTGTTTGTTTGTTTTTTTCAGTTGCAATTTAGTTAGGAAAAAAGTATACAAGTTATTTTTGTTGGTGTATGTAAGTCTTGGAACCAACTTCTCTTTCCCTTCCCGCCAAGATTGTCCAAAGCATCTGCCAATGAGTTAGGCTCACTTTATGGGAAATTTTCATTTTATACCATGTTAGAAAACTACATGCTGTCTTTCTTTCTGGTGAAAATTTTGCAGTGTGTATTTCTTTGAAATTAGGAAGATCTGAACTCTGATATTCATAAAATCCCACTCAAATTGGCATTTTCAGCTTTGAGAAAATGAGCAATCTAAGTTTCAGAAAATTTGAAAATGGCCTATGTAGCTCAAGTTGAAACTGTTTGTTTGAGGGGATGGGTTTTTGAAGAATCTAGATTTGTAAGACAAAATATCTTCCATTTACAAGAAGGTAAGTTGAAACCTCAAGTTATTGAAATGTTAAATATCATGAAGTTATTTTCCTTTTGCAGTTGAAGCATTTCTGTTAGTGCGAATGAAAACTTCTTTTGGTGGTTAAGAATGAGAGTGTCAAATGTGGATACATACATAGAGTATTAGAAGCAGCATTCAAATTCAGCCATATTAAAAGTTACTGAAATGTAACTAACTTGTATTGATTGTCTCATAGCATAGTTGGGTGCACTACCAATCATCATAATCTTAGGTTCTTTCAGTTTGTTTCTCTCCCTGAATTTTTTTTAATACTTTTCTTGGCTGTCCTGATCCATGAAAACATTTCTGTCCAGTTAAATATATCTTCCCAGGTCAGCCAACACATAATGATGAAAGATGAGCCAAGATATTGATTTGTTAAATAGAAGATTCAAAATTCCTGACCGCAGCACTTGACATATCTTTTCATGTGAAATAGCCTGCTTATTTGCTAAAATATTAGAGTGTAGGGTTAAATGATCAAGATGTAGGGTTAAAATAAATATAAAATCTGAAGACATTTTCATGTATTTTTAAAATGTGATAACTGCAGTGGTTAGAAACACAAAGGAATATCTAAAAAGTTCATTTAAAATATTTCAGATCATCGACTAAATATTTTTCAGATAGAAAGACTTTATCACTTTAAGAATTTGTTCCTGTGGTGTTATCAGTCTGAAATTAGATTTTCCCCAGCCTTAACAGTGTTGCTTCTCTTCATCACTTGTGGAAACCTGAAAAGTCCATGGGACTGAGGTGGGTGGCTTCCTACATTTTGATAACAGTGGGTTTATTATGTATAAAGAGAAGAAACAGATTTGTCTGAATAATGGAATTTAGGATACCTCTCTCCTAAAAGGGATTTTTAGAGAATACACAAGGAAGTAGTAAAGAGGCAAAGTTGCTGTATGGAAAGCTATATGAAGATTTAAATTAATGATGTACCCATTTTAGTAAGTAGAAAAATGAAGTAGGAAATGAAGGACCTTGTGATCAGTTTTGAGTTTAGAAATGTCAAGGGTTAGGTACAATATTCATTGTACCAAAAACCCCATTGTAACAAATGAATACCAAAAACTTAAACCAAAAACACCACAAGAAAAGAGGATGGGGTATATTTGACTTGGTCAAGTGCAAGCTTGTTGAGGGCAGGGCACTGTGGAGTAAGTGCCACCTAGTTCACTGTGGGCACTCACCACTGATTGATGTGGCTCTCGTTTTTTTTTTTTTTAGTAGGTATAATAATGTCCTTATGTATGTTGACATTTTTAATCCCACTTCTATGTGTTGGGATTTGACCTTTTTCTAATGTGAAACACTTAAAAGAATGTTATTAAATTACATTTTTTCCTCTCCATACTTTGGAGTGATGGCAAATTTAACATTCTCTTACCTATTGTAAAATTGTGGCTAAAGAATGTAGATAAGATAATTGAAATGTAGAAAAATGTGTAGTCATTTGTTTTCCTTCTGTACTGGGGGAATCAAATGAAAAAGGATTTTTGAAGGCAGCTAGCTAAGATGGTGAACAGATAGTACTCTGGACCTGAAGTCAGGAAGACCTGAGTTTAAATCTTGCCTAAGACACTTACTAACAGTATGACCCACGACAAGTTATTTAAATACTCTGTGTCTCATTTTCCTTATGAACAGATTGGGTGGGGGTGGGGAGAGGTGTTAGACTCGATGGCCTTGTAAGGCTCTTCCAATTCTAAATTTATAATCCTATGATAAGTAGAAATTTTGACATGCTAATGCAGGAATAATAATACATATTATAAATCAAACCTGAAAACCTTTATTTATCCTTGGTCAAAATTTGTGGCCCTAACTATTTTCCACCAAAGGCCATGTTATATTTTACTGAACTGGGAGTGCCTTTTGTAGTTATTTTTTACATAGTCAATTTTCAGATATTTTTATAATATTGGTTATCTGATATTTCAAGCTAAATTAAGCATTCCATATAAGTAATTTTACTGTACAACTGAATTCATCCTTTTAATGCTAAACCTTTTCTTAAATTTTCTATTTAAAACACGAGATGTTGTCTCCTTTAGAGTACATTGAACGTAGTTTAATAATTTCTTAGTGACAAAGAATCATCATAAAGATATCAGTTTTGCTAGCTTGTGATAGTATTTTGGGGAAATAGAGTATTGATCCACTTAGGGTTTGTTGAGTCATTAAAGGGTGTTTGCTTCTTCACTAAAGGTACCCAATTAGTGCTTTATTAGTATTAATTCTTCTGTCTGAAGTTTATAGTTCTTCTGTCTCCTCCTTCTGCAGTTAGTTGTCACATTTGGTTGATATTGGTGTGCTCTCTGGCATCTAATATACTGCTTTATTTTCTACATCTACTTGGGTGAGGACTTAAGGGCCTTTTCTTAAACATTAGGCTTGGAGTCAGGAAGATTTGAGTTCAAATTCAGCCTTAGACACTTACTGGCTGTGTAACTCAGGGCAAGTCGCTTAACCTCTGTTTGCTGCAGTTTCCTTATCTTTCAAATGGAGTTCTGAGGATCAAACAAAATAATAATTGTAAAGCACTTAGCACGGTGCCTGGCACGTAGTAAATGCTATATAAATGCTAGCTATTATTATTACAAAGTCCTTTGAGCATAATCTGTAACAGCTATCTTCAGAAACACCAAGAAGCCTTTTTAATATCTGGATTCCCCTCTGTTCTAAATAGTTGTGGTTGGTAGAAGGTTAATCTTCAGTTATCTGTAATTTTGATATATGTATATAAATATATTGAGAGGGAGAAAGAGAGAGACAAAGAGAGAGATTTATTGAGATTTCCTCTTCTCTCATACCACATAGAGACTGAATGGAGGTTAAAATGAAGTAATCTTGAACTGAGTCTAAGGAACTTTAAAACAAGCCACAAATAGTTCCAGGGGAGTCCTAGTGGGACCTCAATTTATTTCAGAGGATAATGCTTTTCAGTAGAGACTTTTATTGATAGGCATTAGAACCATCATTTCTTAGGATATAATCATTCAAATGAATATTTAAATGATTTAGGAACATTAAATGGCATAGAACAAGTGCCTCTATTAATAGTAGACATTTTGTTCCTTTATTTGGCTAGAATATTATGCAGTGACAAAAGCACTCATTTTCATCAATCTGCAAAGGTTCAGGAACACGATACTCCTGAAAAGTATGGATCAAATATTGATCAGAAGCTGGCCTGACCATAAATTTGATTTGGATGGTTCCATACAAATGACATATGCTTTTTCTCTTGAATATTTGAATAAAGCTTATTCTATTAGAATCTTTCTATTGAAAATACAATTGTGTACATCATCACATATAGAAACAAGAAGTCATTGTCAGATCATCAGTTAAGAATATACTCTTTTCACTGTCTCATCTGTTAAATTGTTACCCAGTTTTAATAATAATAATGAAGATAATAATAATAATAATAATAGCTAATATTTATATAATGCATACTATAGGTATTCTGATAAGCGCTTTACAAATATCACATTTGAGCTTCACAAGAAGCTTGGGAGGTAGATGGTATTATGTTTCCCATATCACAGATGAGTAACCCGAGAGGCTGAGAGAGGTTAAGTGACTTGCCCAGGATCACAGCAGTTAAGTGTCTGAGGCTAATTTAAACTCACATGTTCCTAACTTCAGGCCCAGCGCTCTATCCACTGATAACCACTAGCTGCCTGTTTTTAAAGAGTTAACAAACTGTTTTGTAGGTAGTTTAAAGTTCTACATTTTGTGGGTATTATAGAGATCCATAAGTATCCTTTGAATAATCAAAGAAAGATAAAATTATTTTTAAATGATCTTAATTTTTATTGTATTTTAATTATCTGGAAATTGGTAGTTTACATTTGTCATGTAATAGTAACTTTTTTGTTAATATTTGATTTTTCAGTATACCTCATTTCCTAGTAATATTGGATAAGAGAGTTTATGGCATTTTTTAAAAGTCTAAATTGATGCCTTATTTCTCTAACTGAACAAAATTATTAGAGAATCCAAAGTGGTTAACTTTGCATAAGGAATTAATGCTATAAAGTATTGTATATAAATCTCACCCCTATATAAGATATGAGAAGTGATTAGTTTACTTTTGTGGAGCAATATTGTTTACTTATTTTAATTAATTGACAGTACATCTTCTGACTCTTGACACCAA